TTTCACCGTTTTGTCAGTCTAAAGAATTACATTACCCAGAAGCCTTCAGTTCACTTCCCAGAAGTCAACACTGCTTCCAACCACTGTTGGCTGCAAACGGAGGGAAAGTTTTGCAGCAAAGTCAGAAGTCAGTTTTTCCCCCACCATTATACAAGCAGGGCGCCCCGCCCCGTCTACCGAACCCCTCCCCACCTCACAACCACCTGTCGGCACTGACATAATGCTAAACTAGCAGCTCGCAATGCAGGTGCACTTGCTAAAAGCTAAAGGCAGCCTCTTCCCTCATGCTGAACCTTCCCGCTGAATGCCCCCCTCCACTCAAAATCTGCTGATACGAACAGTACATGGCTCAGACGTGTGTCTGTCTCTCACCTCTCCGACACCCTGCTCTAAAACTATAACTGTCGGTGCAAAGAGTGCGCGGCTGTCTCTCTGGTTCTGGTCGTGCGGTGCTGGTCCGAACCAGGTCAGAGATGGTGGATTAAATCCTGGGCAGCCTTGCTCCTAGAGTGGCAGCACATGCACATCAAGCTGGATGGGGCTTCATCATGCTACAGCGAGACTTTTTTTTATCTATCGGGTCGGACGGAACCAAGCCATTGTTATTCTGCAGAGCCCTTGTAAGTAAAATTTAGTAGCTACATACAAGTACTGTATGTTGTTAAAATTAGTAGGCTTAAGAGTTTAGAGGACTGATTGTGGGCTTCATCGTTGCAGGATAGGTCTGCAGAAAAGAACAGAGTCGTAATCAAACAAAGTTGGACCGGAACGAGAGCTGCTGCTGTTCTGCAGAGCTGGTAAGTAAAATTTAGTAAAAAGTATGTTGTTAAAATGACGTAGGTTTAAGAGTTTAGAACAAGAGTGTGGGAAGGCTTTCTAAAGCCTCAATATAAAGTTTATTGTACATGAACTTGAACTACTGTATTCCTACTTTGCGGTTTTTCACTTATTGCGGGGGATCTGTACCCCACTCCCCCGCAATAAACCAGGGACTACTGTATCAACAAAACAATCTGGCTCATATTTATTCACAGAGTTTATTAACATTCTCTTATATTTAACACTGTGAGAGGCCGTAAAACTCTACTGGATGCTTGTGATCTCCGGGCCCTTAAAAGTCAATGCACCTCAAACAGGAATGCCACTGTCAAGGAAATAACAGAATGGGCTCAGGAATACTTCCAGAAAGCATCGTCAGTGAACACAATCCACCGTGCCATCCGCCGTTGCCAGCTGAAACTCTACAGTGCAAAGAGGAAGCCATTTCTAAGCAAGCTCAGACGTTTGCACTGGGCCAGGGGTCATTTAAAATAGAGTGTGGCAAAATGGAACGATTTGAAGTTCTTTATGGAACACTGGGACGCCATGTCATCCGGACCAGAGAGGACAAGGATAGCCCAAGTTGTTATCAATGCTCCGTTCAGAAGCCTGCATCACTGATGGTATGGGGTTGCATGAGTGCTTGTGGCATGGGCAGCTTGCATGTCTGGAAAGGCACCATTAATGCAGAGAACTATGTTCAGGTTCTAGAACAACATATGCTCCCATCTAGACGTCATCTCTTTCAGGGAAGACCCTGCATTTTTCAACACGATAATGCCAGACCACATTGTGCAGCAATCACAACATCATGGCTACGTAGGAGAAGGATCCGTGTACTGAAATGGCCAGCCTGCAGTCCAGATCTTTCACCTTTAGAGAACGTTTGGCGCATCATAAAGAGGAAGGTTCAACAAAGAAGGCCCAAGACGATTGAACAGTTAGAGGCCTGTATTAGACATGAATGGGAGAGCATTCCTGTTTCTAAACTTGGTAAACTGGTCCCCAGACATCTGTTGAGTGTTGTAAGAAGAAGGGGGGATGCCATTCAGTGGTAAAAATGGTCTTGTCCCAACTTTTTTGGGATTTGTTGACGCCATGAAATTTGGAAACAACAGATTTTTCCCTTAAAATGATACATTCCCTCAGTTTAAACTTTTGATCTGTGATTTGTGTTCTATTCTGAATAAAATATTAGATGTCGTCACGTCCACATCATTGCATTCAGTTTTTATTCACAATTTGTTTAGTGTCCCAACTTTTTTGGAATCCGGTTTGTAATAATATAATAAGTGCCATCTGTTGTCATCGTTATATGTTCCCATAAAATGGCAAAATTAATTATCTGCCTTTAACCCATCGCACCTGGGATCCACCCAGGTGAAGCAGTGGGCGGCTATGTAAGTGCATGGGGAGCAATTAGGGATTAGGTGTCTTGCTCAGAGACACCAAGACATTTGGGAATGGCTGGGGATCAAACCTGGGACTTTTGGGTCCCAAGTCGGCTGCCCTGCCTCTACCCCCCTCGGCCCCCTTTAATGGACATGTGCAGAAGTTTTGGGGCTAAATGGCCAAAAGCTAAACATGATAAAGAGATAAAAACTCATGATGGACTTGAATCATGAGGCTGGAACATTTACTGAGATGAAAATAGTCCTCAACACATTAAATGTCTTAATCAAAGTGACAAACTTTAAAATAACTAACACCTTCAGTATCAACAAACTCAAATAAAACTTCAGCTTTGCTTGAATCATTAATTAAGTTTAATTCAAGTTAAACTTTGTACTAAAGTTTTTACAATGTTTAAAATAATAAACGAGAGAGAAATGTATTTTGCTTCTGTCCAAAGAGAGAGCAAATTAGGTCGACAAAAGGAGCTGAAAACTCAGCTGAAAGTAAGTTTAGAAATACACAGACATAACTTGGATGTAAATATTTTTCCAAACATACATTATTAGCTCGAGGCTATTTTTCGAACAAGTCAAAACATCCTCAAGCAGCTCCGTCTGCTTTGGATTCTGCCGATAAGAGACGCTGGCAAGATTTCTGAAATTCAGTCGAGCACCTTATCCTTATCAAGTGATGTCAGGAGGGAGATTTGAAACATGACATTTTAGGATCCCATCATTTAAAACTTCAAATCAAAAAGGCAAAAACAGCCTCATAACAATGAGTCAGTGATGAGGACTAACGTCTTAGTTTAAGTTTTATAATATTTGTTCGCTAAAAGGCGAAGATTAATTAAACATCATGTTTTTGCCTGTATGATCATGTCTTTTTACAAAAATATCTTAAATCACAGGACAAACTTTAATGAAACTTTCAGAAAGTAATAATTGAATGTACATTTACAACACATTAACTTATGGAGCCAACTCAATTTAAGATGGTGCAACAGTCAACTGACCCTTAAAAAAAAAAAAAAACAGTTTTACAGATATCTTTCCATCCATCCATCCATCCATCCATCCGTTATCATTACCCACTTCTTCCTTTTCGGGTCACGGGGGTCACTGGTGTCCATATCCAGCAGTCACTGTGTGACAGGCAGGGGACACCCTGAACAGGTATCCAGTCCATCACAGGGACACAGAGACAAACAAGACAAACAACCATTCACTCTCTCACTCACACCTAGGGACAATTCAAAGTTACCAATCAGCCTAACGTGCATGTTTTTGGTCTGTGGGAGGAAACTGGAGTATCCGGAAAAAGCCCACGCATGCATGGAGAGAACATGCAAACTCCACCCAGAATGGCCCCCTGGCCGGGAGTCAATCCAGAAACCTTCTCACTGAGAGGCGGCAGCTCTACCAACTGTGCCACCCAGTTTTACAGATATTGAGCGAGCATGTCACAGTAGCCGAGAGACATTCACAACACATACTCTGAGCATGGCATCTCTGGTTATTGTATGAGATCATGCATATGTATTTTTAATGTTTGACCAAAATGGCTATAGTCTCTTATCACAAAGTAAATGGTAAATGGACTGCACTTATATAGCACCTTTCTATCTTATCAAGACACTCAAAGCACTTTACACAATCTGTGCCCTCATTTACCCATCCATACAGCACTCTACTGTATCTATACAAAGAATAATCAGTGCTTTTAGATTCATACATCAATGGGACACACATCGGAGACAATGAGGGGTTCAGTGTCTTGCCCAGCGACACTTCAGCATGTGACTGCTGGTGGAATCGAACCCCCAACTCTCACTTTGGAGGATGACTGCTCTAACCACTCAGCCACAGCTGCTGCACAGTGATCTTAGATTAAAACTTTGGCATGAAGGGCTGCAGTCGATGTGCATTTGGGCCTTTCGTTCCTTCAGTTCTAACGGGCCTGGTTGGGAAAGCCTCAGAACTTTGGGCTACTTGTCATTTTCTAACAGATGGCACAAACAGAGGCCCAGGGGCTCCAGAGAGATAGAGTGACAAAAAGTAACAAATAAAACCCTTTCAGACGACAGTCAAACATTACCAAATGTTTTAAAAGCTAATATTCTGATTGCACTGCAAAAGACAACATGTTTCTCTAACACATCGAGCATTGCACTGTTTATTCTCTGGGTATTTAACTGCTGAACGCTCTACTTTGCAGCTGTTTGTCATCCATTTGGAAACATTTGTGCTAAAAGCAGTAAGAAGGAACAAAAGCAGTGATGCTTCAGGACATAGAACCACAAAGATGAACAGAAAGACAAAAACTGCTCCACGTCTCTGAGGAGATCTGCTGAGCCTTGTGCTGTGATTATCTACAAGTTCACCATCGTAAGAAACTCCTCTCACGCGGCATATTTGTTGTATCGATGCGATCAGGAGAGGGGTTTTCTTTTCCCTATGTAACACGTAGAGTGGAAACGAAGATGCTGATACCTGGAGTCAAAAGCCAAACTAGTCAATACGCTTCATAGGATACCCTCTGAGGATTCATCCTGAGCCCTTGGGCATCTCTGTGTGGGCCCGAGAGACTGTATGTTATTACATGCTCGGCTGGAGAAAAGACTTCCTCTACATGAGAGCTGCACACATGAGTGAGTCCAGAAGCAACAAACAAACATAAAAAATACATATGCCAAAAACAGGGACTGCGTAATCTCAAACCTCTGTGCCGCTCCACCCAGAAAAATCCAAAGGCAGGAGTTTTCTGCTCGCATGCTTGATAGTTACCCAGCGGTGAAGACGTGATTGACGTGGCTGCAGGATCGGAGCTCCCTGGAATCGAGCCAAGCCTTCCGTGGCTGTCCCGCGACCGGTGGCACCAATCTCCACGAGGAATGAGGAGGCGGGCACCTATACGGTGAATACAGGGAACAGGGTCAGTCTCGTCTCATGGACAGAGGGAGGTCTGGTAAGAAGCTGAGAAAGACGCATTATTTAACAGCTGTCCTTTTGGAGTTCAGTACATTACTGCTGCTGAGCCAAATGCCCCCCATCGCCCCTCTGTCTGCACTATGATAACAACCCCAATGACATTCAGAACCCGGTGCACGGCAGAACCAACAGGGCTGTTAAGATGCAGTGACACAGAGCACAAAGCAAAGGTTTCACCCCCGCCCAAGCTTTAAGCGAGACCGACGCAGCAGGGTGGTGCGGCCGTAACTCTGCTCTGTGACTCGGCCCGCTTGTCGGGCTGTTTATTATCAGTAGACAGCACACGCCAGGCTGGGGAAATAGGACTGCTGAGGCACTGGGTGCCGGCTACTTGGAAGAAAGGAAGTAAGAGCGACACGGGAGGAATACCAATCAGAGTCCCCTCTCCTCCGAGAGATTTAATTTTCTGCTTTGGCACGCCACGGCCTCACAAAGCGACTCTATCCTGCTTCAGGTTGGACGGCAGCCTTTGACAGCAGCTGGAGTCTTTTCTCAAAACTTAAAGGGACACTTCAGATCTTTAGAATTGAGGTTCTGTGGAAAGGTTTAAATGATTATTATTTGAGAAATTGTGTTTAGAGAAACTGAATTTAGTTTTGAATGGACTGATGAGATAACGGTTAGTCCAGGCCTAGACCAGACTTCAAGAGGTAATTGAATCAATGAACCAGGTGAAATGGTGCAGGGAAATAAGTCACACATGCAGGATAGTGGACCTCAAGGACCAGGACTGGACACTCCTGACCTGGACTGAAACAAACTGCTGTCATCCTGAAACAACTCCAGTTCCTACAGATTTTATTATGAGTCATGATTCCGTTCAGTCTTTGCACTTGCAAAAAGCAATAAAAATCTATGTAAATGCCTGTGTAAAAAGACAAGGTTCATAAAAACAGCCTTCGCATAAATTATTCTGAAATTTGAGAGCATAGCTGTTTGCAATCCATTTGGTCCCGTTTCTGTTTAGAGTAGCCGTCAGCTTGTCAAACCAATCAGAAAGTAAGGACGGTCACCTTCAACAGGTGTAAATAACCCTTAAAAATGCATTAGAATCTAACTTCTGCCTAAAACTAGTTAGTTATTTTGCATTTGAATTTTAGTGTTTTTCCAAAGTACTTTGCGTACTTCCTGTTAAGTGTGTATCCATGACAACGATCAGGACGAGGGAAGTATCAAACCTGAAGACAGCTCTGGATTTTAAGGCTTTACCCTCTGCTATGGGCTCAAGAAGATCTTTGAAGTTGTATGTGCAAATTGCTAACTGTGTGTAAATTAGTGTCAAGGTATAGCTACTGCTGTGATTGGAGGAAGACACAGAGGAGCTGAACGGGGATTGGCTGCCTGTCAAGTAGGGATGCACCGATCCACTTTTCTCACTTCCGATCTGATACAGATACCTGCAGTTTAGTATCAGCTGATACCGATCCGATACTGATCCGATACCGACAAACTGTGCTGAATTAACAAAAATGGCTAAATCGTGTCATCGATGACATGATTTAGCCATTTTTGTTGTCTACCTGGATGTTTGAGCTTACAAACCCAGTGTTGAATTAACTTAAAACATTTTTTTTTTTTTAAACGCAGACATGAATGTAATGAATTACAAATTTATTGAAAACTTTGCACCATAACAGCACGCTTAAACACACCAAGAGCTTCACAAACTTGGTCAAACATGTAAAAACAACACAACTTTAATTTGTTCAGTCAGTACGCTAGCGCGTGACGTCACTCAGAGCACAAAGCATAAAATTAGAGTGAATAGATCTGCCCAGTCATGGATCGGTTACATTATCACCGATACCCGATCCAGAAGTTTTTCAATATCTGTACCGATACCGACACTGGTATCGGATCGGTGCATCTCTACTGTCAAGGTGTGCTGCATAAGAGGAGCTGAGGAAGTGATGACGTTGGCTTCCACCCAACCAGCCACAGCTGACCTGCTGTCATTCGTTATTGTCGGATCAATTAGGCAGTTCTGTGAGGAGTTTGTAGGGGCGAGCTGCCATTTTATTTTCAAGACATTTTCTCCTGTTTTTGTTAGCTTAGTTACGGTAATGGATCTGTATTTTGGTTATTTTTATTTTTTCTTCAGGTAAGAGAAAAATCAGTGATGATAGAGCATTTTTGTTTGTAGTTTTGGCCTGAGCTCACCCTGAAGTTTAGCAAGACTTCAGTTAGTCAATAATATTCACAACTGTAAATAAACTCACTGTTTAACACGTATCCATCGACTCCATGGCCGCTTGAGTGGTGCAGAAGGTGGAAACGTCCACATTTAATTACAACCTGGCGGTTGTGTTTGCCTCAGGTTGTAACATTGTTTATATAATGAAATTTGTTAATTTACAGAATATTTAAATGTGGTGCTGTGGGGATATACGTGTTCTGCTGTTATGGTGCAAACACTAAAATAGCATTAGGCCTTAAATTGTGAATAAAACACCAACAAGATGCAAGTATGTAAACTCAAAGTTTTCTGTAGTGTTTTAATTTGCTGAAGATTTATTTGCTTAACTTAATAGCCATTTATTTTTTGTTTATTTCAAAAGGAGCTCATTTATGTTATATTTAGATCCTGTAGGTCCTACAGTGTTTTCCTGATTAGGCTGAAGGAAACTCAAACAAAAGGAAACTTCAGTACAGTTCACCTTTCTCTGCAACATGTAGGAGATTTGTTAAGAACTTTTCCACAGAACCCGGCATTAGAAGATTTGAACTTTTTTTTTTCTAAAGCCTTCGATGAAGACGGTCGCTCTTCTTTCCTCTCGCCGTCCCTGCTTTGCTCATTGTCTTGTGAACCTTTTTCAGAGCCCCTTTTTGCATATTTCGAATAGTAAACTTATGGATTTTTTCAGCTGGCCTCTCAACACAATTGATCAAATCTTCTCAACAAGAAGTCGGGGTGAAGGAGAGCCCTCTTACCCCGGAAATAATTGAATTTATGATGACTGGATTCTGCTTTTTTGGAGTCGGTGGAAATCTGTATTATTATCGACAAATTTGGAAACGTCAGCAGCTGTTTAAGCTGCCGTGTGTGCCGGGCTTGGCAACACTCAGACTCTGTGCAAACTATCTGTGGACCTGTATCAGAGCTGAGCAGGCCTATGGAACTTCTGGCAGTGTTCACAGACAATTGGAACGAATAGATCTTGGAGAAGTTGTAAGTCTGACTTCGGCATAAGTAATCACAATTCGGCTGTTTGGAGACGTCATGAGATGTACTAGCGAGACTGTAAAGGCAGACGCGGAAATTTATGAGCTCGGCCTGACCCAAAACAATGTTGAAATCTGAATCTGGCTCTGGCCTTGGAAGGCTGACTATCTCAATCTCTCCTCGGGTGTTATGGAAATGAGACGCTCTGCTCCTGCTCAAGAGAACATCTATGGACCCTATCAGAGTTGTAGATAGACACTGTAACATCTTTATCAGGACTATGGAAACTATCTGGAAGTGTTCATGGACAATATCACCGTCTTGTCGCCCCCCCCCCAAAAAAAAAAAAGTATTATGTCTCTCCATGTTGCTGTGCTGAGGTATTTTTTGCCGTCACACTGTGCCCTGTGTCCAAGGACACGGTGTGAGAGGTCTTTTTTAATACCTTCTCTCCTCATGTTTTCTTTCCCATTTCTTATCTAAGCGATAAGGGCAGCGCTTCACAGAAGTTGCAGCCCCGGTACACTTCTGTCTACCCTTCAGACGGCTGTACGGAACGTAATTTCACAGTACTTGTGCAATGACAATAAAGCTGATTCTGATTCACATCTTTACTTGTGGCCAAATAAGCAGGGTGCAGGGCAGGTGGATACAGACGCAAAATAAAGATGTGTGACTTCTCTAATAAATCTAGAAAAGTTGGAGTCCAGAGGTTGCAGATAAAAGCTCTGAGAGCTCAAAGCACGTTTAAATGTTTAATGTTTGAAGCAAGCAGTCAACAGAGAAGGAAAGAGTTGTAAGTGGCATTCATAATTCACATTATAGTTTCATACGAAGAAATAAAATATTCCATTGACTCATTGTTTTCCTCCTGACTTGAATACCTCTGCAGGCTCGATGGGTGCACTTTTTCCATTATGTGTCTTTTTTTTTCCAGAAAGGCATGCTTGTTTACATTTGTGTGACTGACAGAATATTTCATTGCTTTAATAGATTCAATATGCTAAAATTTTGTGCAACATCCCGCGAGGGTGTCAAACCGAAAGCTAAATGAAACAGCCCGCCGTTACATCACCGACAACTGCGAGACGCAAAGTGAGAGACGGCTCTCATTTTCCAATCCGACAGCCAGAATCCAGCCCGGCCGCCGGTCCCGGGCTCTCAATCTCAATAAATTAAATCTTTCTGCTTGCGACAAATAAAGAAAAGTAATAATGTGGTGATATTAATATGTTTGAAGGTTGTTAAAGATATTCATTTATTTAAAGCAAGACCACCCCTGGGGGGGGGGGGGGGGGGGGGGCAGGGAGTGAAGGGAGAAAAGAAGAGACGATGTGGAGTAAAAAATGGTGACTAAAGACGAGCACGAATGCATAAATGAGGACAGACAAGCAGAGACAGAAAACTGTATTGAGCTGCAAGAGAGAAAAAAAAATCACCTTGTATGAAAACCGTTAAATGTTAATGACATGTACAGAGGAGAGGGGAGAAAGAAAGGTTAATCAAATGTGAAAATGTCAAAAGAAAGTTGCATTTCTGCTCTGAGCTTCAATCATAGAGGCTCTGTCAGGTATAATAAGAGCCGTCTTTAAGGGAATGCATATCGCTCTTCACCTCTCAGGTCAGAGTTTTAGACCAAGATCATAGTTTGAGGAGAAACAATGAAATTGAAGCCACTTTGGTGTTTTGGTTCCGCACAGTCTCATGAGATATTGTAATATCTACCGTGATCCGTTAGCGCTTAACAATGGTTCCCAATCCTGGTCTTTGAGGAACACCATGCTGCATGTTTTAGATGTTTCCTGCTTTGACATCTGATTTAAATGAATGGGTGATTAACAGCAGAACATGAGGAAGTAATTAAATCACTGAATTGAGGTAGGTGTGTTGGAGCAGGGAAACAACTTAAACATACAAGATGGTGTTCCTCAAGGACCTGGGTTGGGAACCACTGACTTAGAGGACATGTGAATGACTGTCAATAAGTTGACTACTGACCACACTTTTGTCAAAAAATAACATCAAAAGTAAGTAATAAAATAAAACTAAAGTAGATGTATGCATATATGCAAATACGTGAAATTATTTATGAGATATTTTGCTAATTGACACACCTTCACATACACACAATAAACCTCTACAAAAACCTCTGTCAATGCTTCAAAAAAATGTCTGGAAATACAAAATTTATCTTCCATGAGCATGAAATCAGATGTTACAACCCCAGAGCTGCTCAGAAAACCATAAAGAAAATCACTTGGTTTTATACAGCCCCGCAGATAAAACTAATGCCACCCAGAGCTGGTGTTTACAAGAGAAAGTAAGGTCAGTAAAAGTTTTATTCTCACCGTGCACTGCTGGCGTCTGTGCAGAGAACAAAAACGCAAAGAACACAACAGAAAACTGCAATAGAGCTGTAGAAATGTACGCCAGAGAATCAGACTGAGGTGAAACTAAAGGTTCTGCCGACCATTGTCTCAACTTGTAGCACATCATCTTATGTTAACACCAGACATAAACAAGAGGACCCCTTACATCACATTATGCACCTGTCGACAAACTATATACAGAAATCTATAGCAATGGCCCAGCCAGGCAAAGACCTTTATATCTTTATGACCTTGGAGCTGAGGCGGTGAAAAGTCTAAGTCAGGGGTTCCCAACCCTAGTCCTTGAGGAACACCATCCTGCATGTTTTGGTTGTTTCTCTGCTCTGACACACCTGATTTTAATTCATAGGTGATTACGGCTTCTGCAGAACATAAGGAGTTAATAAAATCACTGAATCAGCTGTGTTGGAGCAGGGAAACAACTAAAACATGCAGGATGGTGTTCCTCAAGGACTAGAGTTGGGAACCACTGGTTATCTACGATGATGCATTTGTGTGTAAGTTTCATTAAATTATCTTGAGTGGTTCAGAAGTTATGAGCGGTTACAAGAGAAAGTTTATGGATGGACTACGTCTCGCTTTCAAAAGGCGTATAAAAAGTGAAGAACAAAAAGGAAGTCACCATTTAGACTCTAAGATATGCAACTGTATGTTTTGAACTTCAACTCTCCTGCTGCCCTCGATTCAAAATGACCCCTGAGGTCAAAACAGGTTGTTTTGATCCAAGGGCAGCAGGAGGGTTTAGTCCTTCAGACATGATTCATCGTAGCAGAGATGACTCCTAAATGTGATCTGACAAATTTAGAACACAAAGCTTTGCTGCCATGTTTGTAATTTATAAAACTAGCAACTCTGTAGTGTTTGGTAATGAACTAAAACAGGCAATTAAAAAGTTTCAGCTTGTTTACTCCACGCTCAGGTAGCGGTCGGGGCTGTGGAGCCTGGACAGCAGCAAGAGCAGAAGTCAGGAAGATCCTTCTGGTTATCTCACTCCCAGTTTCTGAACAAGCTGCTGACCAAACACCATTTTTCACCCCCTTGTTAAAAAGCAGATGAAAAGCTCCAGTCTAGTTATAATTAACACGTGTCATTTTTATCCAGACAAATAACAGGTGGCTGAGAGGAGTGCTTGGGAACAGTCTACAAAGTCCAGAATAAAATCTCCTCAGAATCATACCCAGGAGGACATTTTTTAATTTAATTTTAGAAGGACCTTGAGCATTTGGTTTGAAACCGGTGGTGTGCTGACTTCTGGATCCTGGTATATCTAACCCACTGAAAGCACAATTCAGCACAACACCTGCTGCACCAGTG